GCCCGCGGCCCCCAGCAGGCCCCGCGCGCCGCGGCGGCGGCGCCCCGGGCCACTCACTATTCCTTGACGAGCACCATGGCGAGGGGAAGGCGGCGGCGGCGAAGCGGGCCGGCTCCCCCGCGGCGGGCGGGCGGGCGGGCTTCCTGCGGTCCGTCCCGGGGCCCCTCCGTGCCCGGCAGCGGCAGCTTCACTCTGGGTTCCGCGGGGGAGGGGACGGACAAGAGGGAGGACCGAGCACCGTTCCCCGGCAACAGCCCTGCGTCACCGCGCCCGCGCCGACGACGCGGTGGCGTCACGCGGCTGCGGGAGGGAAAGAGGGCGGGCCGGCCCGCTCGCACGGAAAGGGGCGGGGCCCTGTGGCGCGTCATGCGGCCGAAGGGCGGGGCCACTGTGGTTGCGCGCGCATCTTTCTTCCCTGTCTCGCCGCGTGGCGGCGCCGCGCGCGCGCGCAATGCGGGATTTCCAAGGAGTACTGGAGAAGAGCGCAGGACGAGGAGGGGGCTCCTGAGCATGTGCAGAGCTCTCGCCGCTTCACAGCGGACCGGCTTGCAGGCCGGGCTGAGGCGAGTGTTTTGCTTGCAAGGCCAGCAGCTCGAGCAGCAGCCGAGGGCCATGAAGGCCTGGGCCACACGGGGCATTTCGGTTCCGGGATCAGCTGCCAGGCTAGCTGTGACTCCCCGCTGGTTGCTTTATCCCTGCTGCTTTCTGACCAAGCAGCATCGCTTAGACAAGGCCTCAGCATCCCGGGTTCCTCTCCTACGGGCTCCCCAGAGCCCTGCCGACGCATTTCCCATCCTAGCCCCACACCCTGCGCTCTCTGGGTAGTGGGGGCTGGCCCGGGGCACCCAGTGCGCATCACAGCAAGGTGGGGGCCAGGCCGGCGTGCCCCCTGCTCTGGCCATTTCAGGCCCTCTGGGCGCCCTCCAGATGCTTGCCCTTGGCTTCCGCCAGCCCCGTCAGGCCTCGTCCACAGCGCCCGGAGCGCCCAGGCCGAGGACGGGCGGCACACATGGCAGGCGGGAGGGGTGTCCCTGGCCTGCCAGTGGGGCTGCCTCAGCCATCAACATGCTGTTCCCATCCGTCATCTTGCGCCATGCCCTGCGTCAAGATCCCAGTCGGATCGTGCCGTCCCGCTGAGAAGGAACTATGCCGACACCGCTGGCATTCGCTGACTCAGCCTTGGAGGAGGCCCCAGCCGGCTCTCTTGCATCACCTGGCTCTCACGGGGACGTCAGGCCTGCGGGGGAACGGGTGGCTTGGGCACCCGCGCCGTTCCCGACTGCAGGGACTTGGACACCCCCTTGAGGCCAGGTGCAGGGCTAAGCAGTGGGGCAAGGCAGGGAGGGCCGTCTTCGGGCAATCCTGGGACTGCTGCAGCATCCGGGGCCGAACTCGCCCCAAGACAAGCCCACCTGGCGGCCGAGGCCCAGAGACCCAGGAGGGTGCAGCTCCGGCCTGCCTCCATCGCCGCTCTGGCTGCCTGTTTCCCACCAGGCCAGAGGGTGGTTTTACGATTGATGCCTCTCAACAGCTTGGGACCGGGACGTTCAGGGGCACCCCTTCTCCCTCACCAGGCTGCCCAGTCGACCAGGCTGGTCTTTGGGACCACCTGAAGTAGAGCAGGGGCTCCCCTCTGGGGAATCTCCTGCCATGGAAGTTATGCAGGCTCCCTCCAGTGTAGCTTTGGGGTTGGGGTTTTTTTTTTTCAGCATCTGCTAAAACATTTGTATTTAAACAAGCATTTCCTGAAGGATCATCACGCTTTATTGGTGTAACTTGAGTCTTAATATTTGTATTCTTTAGTTTTTTTCCTTTTAATCTTCACCGCCCAAGAGGCTTTTTAAATAGAGTGAATTAGAAGTTTGTGAAAATATTCTGTTAAAACCTTGCTTTCAAAAAACAGTCTACCACCCGTTATCACCACTGGGGGCCTTTAATGCACAGGTCCCTTTGCAACCGGTGCTGAGCTTTGCTAAGCAGCCGCTCCGTGGGCTCCGCAGGGGAGGGCCCATGTCCCTCGGTCGCAATACCCAGCGCAAAAGCTGCTCATTTCAGGGCGCCACCCAAGTCGGCCTTCAGCCTCACGCAGACCCTGCCCGACTGTGTGAGGAGGAGGAAGGAACAGGCAATGGCAGCGTTTTAAAAATCCATTTATTCAATGTGTGAGAGCGCGCAGGGGGCTCAGTGCTGGCACAGACCCGCGAGGAGCAGGCAGGCCCTGGCCCAGGGGACCGAGGGCACACCTGCTTCACCGAGTTCCTGGCAGTGGGGCGCTAGGGGGCCAGGCAGGATGGGGGCCTCAGAGCCACGAAATCACTACGGCAAGGGCCGCTCCTGTCCCGCAGCTTCCCTTAGCGGGAGTTTCTCAAAGAGCAGTGGTCAGGGCGTGAGGAGCATCACAAGAACAGACCCGAGAGGAGCACAAGGGCCGTGGCGGCAGCTGTGAGGAAGCAGCCCTGGAAGCATGGCGGGGGCGCCCGATCCGGGCCCGGGCCACCTGTTCTCCCTCCTGTGTGGAGGCTGCGGCGGGGCAGGAGGGGACAGAAAGGCCCACACGGCCCCGGGCTGACACATGCTTTGGAGGCCAGGGCAGGCCGCCCCTCCCGAAAGGCCTCGCATGGTCCAGCACCTGCCTCCCAGGACAAGCAGCAGCCCAGGTCTCGCTCCGTGGTCGGCGTGCTCGGGCCAGCAGCCACCCCACGCTGAACGCGGCCTCATCCTGGGGACGCTCGGCCTGGCAAGCCCCCATCACGTGGGTGGGAGCAGAAGCACAGCCCGTGGGGTGGGGCAGGGAGCCGGGTTCCAGGCCAGCTGGACCTCTGGCCCTGCCTCTTCCACCCGCACCCACACTCTCCAGCAACATCGAAACGAAGGACACGCCGGCCCTCCGTGCCTGCGAGGACGCTGGCCTTCAGGAGTAAGCAGTGCCACGGCCCCGCCTGTGGCACGGCCGAAGGGCAGGGCCGAGCGGGGAGCCCCCCTGCGCAGCACAGAGGGGCCCGTACATTCACTTCCGGTCACAGTGCATTTCTGGCCGCGGGGGCCACCTCCTCCGCTGGACCGCCGGCATCCACGTGGCGGGTGGCTCCCACAAGGCAGCTGCCTCGGGACCCCAGGGGGAGCCGGGGCGCGGGGCCAGCCAGGAGGAGATCTGTGTCCCGCACAGATCCGGGCCGAGCTGTCATGGCGGGGGAAGCAGTCCTCCCACAATTCAAGGCAACCGAGGAAGAAACATTGGCAGTCCGGGTCCGATCCATTCCATGGGGAAGCGGGGCCCCCGAGCGAGGCCGCGCCCCCGAGGCGAGCAGCAGTGAAGGGGGTGCCATGGCCGCTGGAGACTGGAATGGAAGGGAGCTTGGAAGGGAGCGGAGTGAGGCCCTGCCGCCGGCTGGAATGGCGAGCGCCTTCCGGCCCGGCGGCGGCTGCCCCCACACGAGCCACCGCCCCGGCCGAGGGCCCGAAGCAGCACCAGTGGGAGCGATGCCGCCCGGGGGAGTCTCCGCGCAGGGCCTAGACGAAGGCCTCCTGGGTTGGCGTGCCGTTGATTTTGAGGAACAGCTTCGCATCCTCGCTCTTCTGCTGCTTCTCCCGCTCCAGCCGCCGTCTGTAGCAGACCAGGTAGACGGGCAGGCAGAACCCCAGCATGCTCAGCCCCAGCAGCCCCACGTTCACCTGCAGGACGGAGGCCGAGCGAGGCACAGGATGAGCGGGGAAGGGCCCCTGGAGGCCTGGCACCCCCACCCCGGGCTGCCCCCCTTCCCAGGCTGCCAGCACTCCGGGGAGCTCCCAAGGCGTCCAAAGGGAGGAGGCGCCGTGGACCCCCCAGCAGCTGCCGCCCAGCGGGGGCATCGCTTACCCAAAGTGGGTCTCCTTCCAGGGGCCCCATCATGGCGAGGAACAGGGGCTGCTGCAGAAGCGCAAAGAGGGCGCTGACGAGAGACTGCAGGCCCGTCAGGCTGCCGAACTGCGTGGAGGGGTACCTGTGAAAGGGGGGGGGGGTTATATGCATGGCCCCCAGTCCGGGGCTCCTTCCAGCAAGCCCTCCCTCCTCCTCACAACCTGAGACCCTCCTCCCATCCCCAGTGTTGCCATGGACCAACTTGAGGTGAGGAAAAAGCCCCCTGCTGAAGTAGGGGCTGGAGGGGAGCGTTCACCCCCCTCCCCAAAAGGAGAGAGGGAGGAACCAGAGAAAGAGGCAGGAGGGAGGAGGGCCAGGGAGAGGGGCAAGCAAGCAAGAGGGTGGCCAGCTGGCCAGAAAAAGGGGTGGTGCAGGGCTGAGCAGCCTGGGGCATTTGTTCAAAAAGCAAGATATGGCCATGTGCCCTCGAATGCTGGGGACCCCTGCCCTGAGCCCACAAGTGTGTTGGCAGAACCTGGCCAGATCAGACGGGGGAGGGGGGGAAGGGAGCACCTAGGAGACACCAGAGCCAGGAAGCCCCTCTCTGGGGGAGGCCGGGGGGGGGGGAGACACTGCTGGAGCAGGTGGGTCCCTGCCAGCCGGTCCTGCCCCCCTCTCCGCTGGGCGAGTCCTTGGCGGACGCCCACTGCAGCCTGGCGTTTGGATGGAGCAAAGCTAGAGGGAGCCTGCACCACTCCTGAAGCAAAGAGGAGCCACAGGGGCGTGAGCTGGCACAAGGCCAAATGTAGGCCTGCGACCCTCAGCTGGGAAGGAGACCGAGAGAACGGGCTGGCCGCTTGCAAGCAAGCAGGCGGGCAGGCAGGCAGGGCCCAGGCCGGTCTCGGGCGCGAGGAAGGCAGCCTGGGAACCAGGGCAGCCGCCTCCAGCGCTTCCGCCTCCTCCTGCTTTGAGCAACACGCCAAATGAGAAGCCAAAGACCTGCAGCTGGATTGGCCCCCCTGCCGATCTAGGACTCCGCCACACGCACCCAGCAACCGGGGCAGCCAGCTGCAGCAGCCGGAACTGGGAGCGTGCCCCGCAAGTCGGCCAACAAGGGTGCTGCCGAAAATCGGACTGGGGCCCTGGAGCAGGCAGGCGAACACCCGAGGAAACGGCACGGGGGAGCTGGCGAGCAGCACCTCGTGGGCCCGCCCGGCAGGAGCTCCCAGCACAGGGCTGTGGCTGCTATTGGGAAACTGCCTGGTTCCAGCAAGGGACGCTGCCAAGGGTGTCACCAGGGCAGCGTCAGATAGAGAGAGATCACAGAGCGAGGACTCCGCTGCCCACACTCCCCTTGCGCAATGCCCAGCAGAGCAGCCGAACTGCGGGAGACACAACCACCCATCTGGGGAACCATGACCCGGAATGGAAGCGAAGCAGGAAGCAGGCCCCGGGCGCCCTGGAACAGAACGGGGTCGGGCCAGCAAGGCTAGCCGGGGGCTCGGGAGCCGCCTCGGGGGCTCGCCCGAGGAGGGTGCTTACACGGCTGCGTAGAGGCCGCCCATGGCCGAGTGGATAAAGCCTCGCACGATCGTGTGCAGGATGAAGGAGAGGATCTGGAAAGCGAAGGAAGACACGCGGCCTGAGGAGCCGGCCTGGGCGGTGTACCTGGGGAAGGGCCAGGCCTCGATCCCCCAGCCTTTCCCACTGCTGGGGCACCCCGGCACCCGAGGAGGCCTGCCACCCACAGGCACCGCAGGAGCCCCCTGCATGGCCAGCCGCTGCCTTCCTCCATCTGCTGGCCAACCAGGCAGGCGAGTGGGTAGCCGAGGGGCCACCTTCTCAAAGCAGGTGACGGCACTGGGACCACCGGCAAGGGCCAGCCAGTGGGAGATGGAGGGCAGCCCAAGGAGGCCCACGAACCTTCCCCGTCCAGCCCCTGCAAGGACCTTTCGGCCCCGGGCAACGCTCTCCTGAAGCACTCACTTGCAGAGGCAGGTTGGGAATCAGGCAGGTGACCCCGAAGCCCACTAACAGCAGGTTGGTGAAAACAAAGGCCCTGGTGGCGTTCAGAATCTTCTGAATCTGCCGGTCACGGGGCTTTTTCTTGCCGCTCCTGGAGAGAGAGGAGCAGGCATCGTGTCAGGCTTGCGGCAGCCCTGTGGCTACCACAAGGGGAGGATGGACCCGCTGCCCACAGCCCAAGCTCCCCCCTGCTGCCCAAGGAGCACGGGGGTTCTGCCCTGAAGCTCAGCCGCTTGGCCCGGGAGGAGGCCAGCCCTGGCAATCCATCCCTCTAGCCGACGCACAAGCTCCGTGGGGAAGCCTTCGACTGCCAGTGCCAAGAAGTTTCAGAAGCCTTTTGCCCAGGGGGCAACCTCCGCCCTCCGCCCACAGGTTCCTCTCCTTTCTGGGTCAGTGGAGAATCGGGGAGCCGGCATGAGCCAAGAGCCTGCCCCAGTGACCCAGTTACTCCCAACCTCCCGTTCTGGTCCGACAGGCCCTCGTGATCCCTCGGGAACCATCTGCCCCAGCAGCAAGTCTGCAGCTCAGCCCACGCTGACCCACAGAAGGGCGGGCAGGGGCTGGGGGCCACGCTCTCCTTGCTTGGCCAGAAACGGGCCACCGTGGGAACGGCCAGCCGGCCTGCCAGACAGATACACAGGACGTCCTCGGCACCCACAAGCTGCAGGGGGGAGCCCGGGGGAGCCACCTACGGGCAGGCCTCGCCCTGGTCCACATCTTCGGGGCTGTCGCACTCCTTCAGCTTCCAGTCCATGATGTACCCAATCACGGGGGCCGTCACCAGGCAAAGCAGCTGCAGGACTCCAAAGATGGAGGAGTAAAGACTCACTGGAAAGCAAGCGCAAGGACCTGCTCAGAGAAGGCCCGGCTGGCCGGCTCCGTCCTCAGGAAGCCCAGCCAACCCCGCCGGTTCAAGCCAGACAGGCCCTTGGGGCAGCGGCGCCCGGCCTCCTCCTTCCAAAGGGCCTGGGGAAAGGCAGAGCTGCTGCGGGGGAGCCGATGCATCGAGGGCCACCCGGCCAGGCCACCCCACAGCGGCCGCCAGCACATGGGAGCGGAGCCTGGGCTCTGGGCCGTGGCAGGGCAGAGACGCGCCCGCAAGGAGGGGCTGCGTGGACAAGCAGGCCAAGAAGAGAAAGCACAGGAGAAAGAGGCAGAGCCCAGAGGCCCCCGCTCTGCAGACCAAGGAAGGCGAGTGGGTGAGTGGCCAGGCAGGCAGGGGCACTCCTCGGCCGGGGGTGAAGGGGGGCGGGCAGCACCTGCCCTCCCTCCGTGGCCCGGGGGCTCCTGCCTGGCCACCTCCTGCATTGCCTGCCGCGGCTGCACCGCCCAGCCGGTCTGAGTCCAGATTTAACAAGCCCAAACTGGATCTCGCTGTGCAAGACACACACGGTTCCGTCCCGCGGTGTGGAAGACAAACAAGCAGCTCATGTTAAGCTTCCCCTTTCCTGGCTGGCTCCCTTCCAGGAACTATAAATACAATCCTTGACTCAGAGGCCCCAAAGCGCGGCAGCCGTGACATCAGTGTTGTTCTCCTTCTGCTAGGGGCTGAGGGCTGCAGAGTCCCGTGACCAGCAGCCCCCCCGCCCCCCCGCAAGCCTGTTTCCCCAGAGACAGACGGGAGGCGGCGTTGGGACATTCTGTGAGGAACTAAACCCCGTGAACCCGAGGCCGTGACACAGAGAAACACGGCAGAGAAATACTGCTGAAATTAGCACCGCTGTCGGTGGGTGGCTGAACCCTGGAAAGGTCACGGGTCTTCCGTCTGCCGGAGCTGCAGGCTGGCAGCATCCCGGTAGCCGGAGGGGCCGGGCAGGACCACCCAGGGCCGCGGCCCCTTCCACTCCTCCAGCCCCAGCTGAGGGATGGCATGACTCCCCAGGCCGAAGCTGGAGAGCCGTTTCAGGTCACTCATCTCGGGCAAGTGCCGCAAGACAGTGTTAAACGGGGGCAGCTCTGCGGCGGAGGGCCCGCTTCGCACGCGGAAAGCAGCAGGCGCAGCCCCCGCGGGGCCTGTCTGTGGCCACGTCCTGCACCGCCAGCTGTGCCGAGCGGGACGCTCAAGAGCCGGGATGGGCCGCCAGCAGGGCCCCAGGGCCTTCCCGTGCTTAAAGGCCCTCCAGGGGTGGAGAGAGGCACCGGCCTGCGCTGGGTGGCCCTGCAGGCCGACCGAGCGAAGGCCACAGAACTCCTGGAGACGGCGCCAGAGACACACTGGGGGTAGTTAAGGAAGCGAAGAGTCTAGTCCTCATGAGTCGCACTGCAGGCCACGCGCTTGCCAAACTCTGCCTGGGCACGGCGGGAGATGCAGCCAAGAAACAGACCTGTCTCCAGATCGCCGTCCACCAGGAACTCCAGGATGCTGTTCATGGCGCCCATGAAGAAGATGAGTCGCAGCTGCGTGACGCACATGGTGATCAGGCTCAGCAGCAAGATGGGGCTGACGACGCTCTGCAGGAAGGACGGGGACGCTGCAACGGGAGGCGGCCATCAGCCCCGGTGCCGGAGACCTGAGCAGCCCCTCGGCCCCTCTGGCCTGCGGGCGGAGGCCACGGAAGGGGCTCCCGTGGGCCCCACTCGCCGGAAACTCGAAGGCCACCAGTGCTCCCAGGACGGATTCCCTGTGGCCACGGGGCGCTTCGCGCCTGCTCCCGACATGCCAGCCTGCCACAGGGAGGGAGGCAAGGCTAAAGGCAAGAGGCCGCCTGGGAGTGCGTGCCTGAGAGTCGACTCGGGCAAAACACTCCCAGCTCGCCACCTGTCCCCCTGGAGGCCCCCGAACCTGCTCGGAAGGCACGAAAGAGCAGCCTGCCCGGGCGAGAGCAAGCCCCCCAGTCTGGCCACTGGTCTGCAGGGTGGCTGGCGAGGGAGAATGACGGGGAGAAGCGATGCTCGTGGCCGCGGTGGGGGGAGGGCCGCGGGGCTGCTGGGACCCGCCGGGGGCCCACCTGCACTGTCCGGCTGGCACTTGACCTCCAGGTCCACGGTGGAGAGGCACAGCTTGTGGCCCTCCTGCAGGGCCGCCGCCTCCTTGCTCTTCATGGAGCTGCCCACGCTCAAGCGGCGGCCGACGGTGGTCACCTGCTTGTAGAACTGTTTGCCGGTGATCTTGTGGTCGAACCCCAGCCAGCTGAACTTGATTTTCACCCTGTTGCAGAGACAGGGAGGCGTTGGGCGGCCGAACCAACGCCCCGAAAGGCCTTGTGCGCAGGCAGCCCTGCCAGGGCCCTCCGAACAGGCCTCCCCCCTTGGGAACGGCCCCTCCACTCGCCCCCCGGCACCCACGTGTAGTCCATGTCCTCTGGGCCCGGAAATGGTTCGAGGGGCCAGTTGAAAAAGCAGTTGAGGAAGACCAGCCCTGCACAGCACGCCCAAACGACCAGGATGAGGATGAACGAGACGCCGAAGTCATAGATCACCTGGAAAGCAGGAGGAGGGGGAGGAGAACAGCCGTCACCCGCCGGCCCCTCCAGAGGCCTCAGCCAGGGCGAACGGGCCCAAGCTGGGTTCCCTGCCTGGGGGTGCGGGGAGCTGCAGTCGCTTTGTGGCAGAAGTGCCCCGGGCTGGTCCTGGCACCTCCAGCTGAGGCAGGAAGGGCCCCTCTCAGCCAGAGGCCCGGCAGGAGTGGAGGCGAGGCCTGGTGGTCCACACTCCAGAATACAGTTCCGGCCGGGAGCGTTTGCCGCCGGGAGGGCTGAGCTGGCAGGCAGTGGGGCAGCAGCACAGAAGTCACCCGGGCTCTCCTGCCAGTTAGCAGCCTGAAGTGCCCCCGACACTGGAAGAGCCACGCACTGCACATCGCGGGCAGCGAGTCGCTCAGGCTGCCATGGCCGGAGGCTCCGATGGGAGGGAGTAGCCCAGTCCATGAGAGGGACTCCACCTGTGGCTCTCGGCCTGGCTAGAGGTGGCCAGGTGCTAGGGCAGAAATGAGGGCCGGCAGCTGCCCTCGGGCCTTGCTGTGGGATTCTCCCAGACATCCAGCTCTGAGCCCAACAGACCCCCTTTCATCCAATCCTGCAAGATCGTTCGCATTCCCCGGAGCGGGGCGTGTGACCTCGCAAGGAACACATCCATCAGTTCCAGGAGAGCTCCTTCCACCACGATGCCCAAGTGCAGCTGCTGGCACGGCGCTCGTCCGCCGCAGATCAAAACACTGGCACCTGCCGCCAACCCTCACCCAGTCCCTGCTGCCTCAGGCTGGCCCGGGCCCACCCAAGTCCTGTACGGAGACGGGGCCAGCGCCAGCGCCCTCTCTGGCTATAAATACGCAGCTAGAAGCTGGCATGGGTAGGGTGGGGGAGGAGACGAAGCCGCGTTCCCTGCGCAGCTCTCTGCCCAAGATTTTGCCTTATTTAATGAATTTATTTATTTGCCATTCCAGCCCGCTTCCCTCTCCATGGAGCCTGCAGAATGATGACGAGCCACTGGGCTGCATCAGGTCATGCGTTCCCTATTGTGTCAGCTGGGACAAGTACAGAGCGAAAATGTTTTGCTGTTTCTATTACTCCAGCTGCAACTCTGTGCTCACTTCTGCACACTCACACACTTCTTGGCTAAGTTGGGCAGCTGATACGGCAGCTGAGGCTCTCTCACTCCCCTGCAGACGCGGAAGGAGAGATTAACCTGTGGGGATGAAGGGGCCGGGTGCTGGACATGGCCAGGCTGGAGTTCAGCGCTTCCCTGAGGGTTTGGCCACAGCCGCCCCTCCAGGGACCTGCCTGCTCTCGGCAGGTGGCAGGAGCTACGGGGCGACGTGTGTTGTGGGGTCATCCCATCTTCAGGCCGTAACCAGACACTCCCTGGCAGTCGCTCCCGGCTCTTGGCAGAGAAGAGCAGCAACAGCACCTGCCTACCTTGATCCCAGGGAAGGTCACCGCCGAGGAGGCGTACGAGCCGATCATGAGGGCAATGAAGGTGGAGCGAAGGTCGCCAAACATGTTGGGCAGCTGGAAGGAAGGAAGGAAGGAAGGAAGGGAGAAGCGAGGTTGGTGGAGGCGGGCAGGAAAGGAGTTGGCTTACCCGGGGGAAAGCGGCCAGCGGCCAGGGTTGGGCTCCAGGTGTGAGAGCACCTCGGGAGCCTTCGGCCAAAGCCGTTTTCGGAAGTGATCGTGGCTCGTGCTGCAGCCACGTCCACAGCACTTGGGGGCCAGGTGCCCGCTTGGCTGGAGGTGACCCCAGGAGGCGAACAAAGGGGCTCCAGCGTGGAGAGGGGTCCTCTCCGGAACAACTTCTCGGCTCTCGGAGGCCAAGAAGCCTTTCCAGAGAGCTCAACAGCACTGGGAGAAGCCGAGGGCTAAGTGAGCGCAGCACGATGGGCCAACCCGCAGGGCGGATGTGGGGAGAGACGAAGCCGCCCTGCCCTGCCCTGCCCTGCCCTCTCCCAAAAGGAGCTTCCACCATGTCTGTTTTTTGGATACGCCAATATTGCACAGGGCATATCCTGCAAGGGCCGGGGCGTCGGGGCTTCCGACGCCCAGAACGTTCCACTTGGAAAGCACCAGCGACCGCCTTCTGCCGGAGCAAAAGCAGGAGCAACGGAGGCAGAGCTGTTGCAAAAGCGGCCCAGCCCTCTCCAGCAGCCGGAACCTTGAATGCTGCCAGGGAAGAGGGGATGGGAGTGGGCCGGCAGGCGAGGGAGAAAACCTCTGGGGCTCTGCAGCACAGGAAGCTCCCCGCCTCCTCCGGGCTGCCTCGACCTCGGGAAGGGGGCCTCTGAGCGGCAGAGCGCTCCTGCCCCCCTGCATCCCGGCACACATACCCGGAGGGGTCCCGCTGCCCTTTCCAGGAATTCTGGAGCCGGGCCCTTGCTTCAGCTGTTGTTTACAGCACCCAGCCACGCTCGCGGCGAGGATCCCTGGCAGGAGGGAGCGCATGGCGGGGGGCGCAGCTCAGCCCCCTCTCCCCCACTCGCTCTCTGCAGCATGGGAGACGCAGTGCAGCGACCGAGTCCTCGGATAACCCCACCGCAGAGGAAGCAACCGGCTCTTGGGCTGTGGGGAGAGTGGGAGTGTGGCCCGCACAGAAGTTGCTCATCCTGAGCAAGAAGCAGCGGCACTCCTGGATCGGGGCCTGCAGAACACGGGGGGCCCACCTCAGCCCCAAAGGGCCTTTCCCTCCAGAGCCGGCGGCTGCCATGTGCCAGGTGGGCGGGGGGGGGCAGGTGGAGGGAAGGGGCCTCAGGCGTGCGGCCCTTACCTGCTCGCACCAGCAGCCCACTTGCTCTGGGGGGGACTGCCCCTCCCCAGAGTGCACTTCCACTGCCAGCGCAGTCAATCCACACGAGGTGGGATGAGCATTTGCAAGGGGGGGCTTCAAAGGGGGCCATGAGAAGGTCCATCAGCCCCCCCCCCCACCTGCAGCTTCAGCACAGCCCTGCAGCCGGCTTCCCCCCAGCAGTGCCCCCCGGCCTGCTCAGAGCACGGCGGAACGGGGCCACACCTCCCGGCTGTGCCCACCTGCGACCAGGGACAGATCCGTCTCGCGTCCTCCGGCCAGGCCTGCTGCCGTGGGGCACAGACGCCGCCTGGCCGGGGTGGCCTCCGCCTGCTGGGAGCGCAGCCGCTGCTCAGCGACAGGCCTGGCCACAGTGTGCCGAGAAGCACCCGGGCGGCCGCAGCGGAAGCTGAGTGGGGATGGCCGGCTTGGCCCTCTGGAATGGCCGCACCGCACTGCCACGAGGCATCCCTTCCCCGGGGCCAAACCCCTGCCTCTGGGCTTCTGGGGGGGCCCTGGGTAGGCAGCGGCTAGCCGCGCAGAATGGCCTTGCAGCTGACGCGTCTGCAAGCTCCCTCTGATGCCTGGGGGAAAAATGAGCCTTTCCGGCCACTCCTGTTTGCAGGGATGCCCTGGACACGCAGCATTTTGACAGCATACAAGGAACACTGGGGTGGAGGGCAGAGGAAAGGAAGGTGCACTGGTGCTTGTCGACATGCAACATGGGGGGGGGGCAGGGGAAGCCCATGGCGGCTTCCGCTGCCACCAAATGGACTCCTGTTGCCCAGCACCGCTTCCTGGCGTGGCCCTGGAGAGGCCAGAGGTCTCAGAGTGGGTCTGCAGGAAGAGCGGGGGGGGCAGAGCAGAGACCCCCGAAGGGGCACCCCTTGCCCCAGGCCCGACCCGGCACTTACTGTGAGTGATGTGAAGGTCATGCACATGCCCCCAAAGCCGTTCAGGGCCAGCGAGATGAAGATCAGGACCGACAGCGCTGGGGAGGGAGAAGAGACACCCGCCGTGGGCAAGGTCCCAGCTCCCCAGGTGGGGCTTCCGCCAGCACCTCGGTATGGAGGCGTGGGGGACCGACCCTGCCCACCCCTATGCAACTCTCCTCCTCCGCCGCCGTGGGATGGCTCCCCTCTTGTGGCCCCCCTCAAAGGGCTGCGCTTGGCTGCACAACAGCCCTGCAAGGCGGGCCAAGGCCGGTTATGCCCCTTGCGCAGAAAGCAAGACCGCTGGCGGAGCGGCCTGGGTGGGGGGCAGGATCAGAAGGGCTGCTATGCTGGACAGCCGGCAGGCCCCAGCCTCCCCCTCCGCCGGGCCCTCTCCCCACAACCGGGCCTGAACCCCAAGCCCGCACTTACAGTCCGGGTTGCTGGCCCCGTAGGCGATCATCACGCAGGACATGGCGAAGCAGGTGCTGTGGCGGAAGGAGAAGCCGTCAGGCGCTCAGGCGAGGCAGCGGGGCCCCTCGGAGCGCTCCCCCGGGTGGAGGGCCACATACCCCAGGCCAGCAGGTGGGGAGACGCCCCCGGGGGATTGCCTCTGCCTGAGTCACCTGGCAACCAAGACTGCGGCTAGGAGAACCGAGCGACCTGAAGCTTCTGCCCTGCCACTCCCTCTCCTCTCCTCTGGCTCGGGCCAGAACAGCATCGCCCAGGACCGCTTGCCTTTTCATACTCCATAAGGACTAGGAGCTTGCCAGTTCTGACTAGCTAAAAGTGAGGTGCTTTGGGTGCTGAAGGATGTGCCTACTTCTCGAAAGAGAACCTTCTCGAGGCCATCCTCTGCCTCTCCCTTCTCTGACTCCACCACAAGATTCCTGATGCCTCCACGCCTCCCGCATCCTCTGCTAAACACTGCTGCCCAACTGGGTCACTTGACCAGGAAGTCACTCCCAGGAAGCAGAAAGGAGGGCAGGAGGTTTCAAGACGTTAAGCTGTCCATGTGGCGCTCGGGTCGAGCTTGACACACAGAAACCAGGAGGCAGAGGTACTCCTTCACTGCTGCATGGCCACGGAGAGCGCAGGAGCAGTCCGAGCTATTCTCGCTGGTCAGGTGGCACTCCCAAAAGCCCTGCTTGCTGTTCCGAGCCCCACTTTCCTTCCTGAGCCCCCCAACACGGAGGGGCCATTTGGGTGTGCCAGATCCACACAGGCAGGTGGGCACAAGCAGCACGGATCTCGCCCCCCCGAGCGACGATGGGGCAAATGAGGCCGTCAGCGGCAGGCAGCCCCCAGAGTGCGGGACTGGGGGGGCACACTCTCCCGGGGACGCCCCCGCCGGGCAAGGGTCACCTTGGCGCATCCAGCGCCGTGCTTCCTTCGGAGCCGGGGGGAGCCAGCCCCGCAGACTCACCTGCCCAGCAGCCGCAGCTTGCGCGGGCCGTACTTGTCCATGACGATGCCCAGCGGGAGGGTGATGGCGCTCAGCAGGAAGGAGCCCACCGTGAAGGCCAAGTTCAGCATCTCGTCCTGCTCCTTGCAGATCAGCCAGTTGTTCATGCGCACCACGGGCTCCGTGGTCGGGGCCGTGCTCTGGTTCCCTGAGGCAGCCTCGGAGCCGGTGACGTTCTCTAGGGAAGGCGAGGCCATGCTGAGCGGCGAGCCCCCAGCCCCTTTCTGGAGAGGCGGGGGGCACCCCAGTGGGCAGGGCTCCAATTACAAAAATGCGCCTCTCTTGCAGCCGCCGCCGCCCGAGACTCAGTCCTGGGAAAAGCGTTTCAGCTTCCACAGGGTGCAGAGGCGGAGGGGAGAGCCCGGGCGAACGCCCAGAAGCAAGACTTGCTCCGGGAATTCTCTGACAGATTGCCCTGTACCAATATTAACCAAGCTGGGAGAAACTGTCCCAGGCGAGCAGAAAAGACACACCGGGCCTTGGGAGTTTGGGACGGGTGTCAGGGAGCAGCGTGCGGCAGACGGATGGAGGGGAAAGGTTGGCAGGCGACGCAAGCCAGCAGACAAAACAGCCCCCCTGCAGCCCCCCGGCCAAGGGTCCAGGCGCACGTGCGCAGATAACCCCCTGCGTGCCGGCGAGCGCGTGGCAGTCCGTGTCCTTGGCTCTCCGCACTGGGCAACCTGCCGGCTCACTGAGAGCGGCCGAAACTGGACTAGAAGACCAGCTGCGGGCGCTTCACCAAAACAGCTCGTGTTTGCAGTGGAAACACAGGTGCCGGGGCAGCGAGCACTGCTGCCCTTGAGAAGCCGGGCTTGGGCATCTCCGGGCTTGGGAGGCGTCAGCGGCTCAGCCAAGGGCCTGGACTCCCGCAAGCTCAGGAAGAGAAGCCTGAGAAGCGCTCGCTCCAGGGACGGGGACCGCCGGTCACGGGATCCACACATCAGTCGTCCACCCCCAGCCGCCTTCGGCTCCACCCCGCGAGGGAAAGACAGCCAGCGTCAGCACCGCAGCCCTGAACCACCCTGATAAAAGCCGCAGAAGCAGATAAGGACAGCCAAGTCAGCAGCTGGCAGAGGCGGAAGATGCTGCCTCCACAGGTTGTGGGGCAATTAATAACAGCAGCCGTCAGCTCAGGGCTGCAGCAAAGCCACGGGAGCAGCAGCAGAGCAGCCCCGGGGGGACTGCACGGTTGGCCAGCTGCCCACGGGGAGCCCAAAGGCCCTGCCAGCCCCACGGAGGGTCCTGGGGGTGGGGGAGAGCCAGCTCCCTCCTTCTGCCAGGAAGCTCCCTTCGTGGGGGCAAAGTTCTCTCCTGCACAGAGCCGAGCTCTGGAACTTTGCTCTGGAGCAACAGCCCCAGGCCGAGCAAGCGGCAGGCCAGCGTGGGGGCCCCACACCCCACAGCAGAAAAGCAAAAAGAGCTCCGCTTCTTTTCCCACAAGGGAAGCCGCTGCACGGTCCCTGGAACCGCAGCCAAGGCAACTGAGGCCAGGAAACACTTTGCCCCAAGCAGGGAGGAGCAGCCGCCGCAGGCCCCGGGCAACGGCCTGTTGCTTGCAGGATCCATGGGCCTCTCCGGGCCCTGGAGGGCTTGAGGAGGGCTGCTCCGCTAAACAAGGAGAACAGGAGGCTAGTGGAGGGGCTGGGGGGAAAGGATCCAGTGACACCCCAGCACCAGCCCACTGGGATGGGGATCTGGCCCTCCCCACTGAAAGAAGCAGGAGGCCCTTAAGGAGCAGCTGCCAAGAAGCAGACATTCAACCGGTGTAGTTTATCAATTTCTGTTAGAACTCCAGGACAGTCCTGAAGCTGTACCAAGCCGGAGGTCTCCAAGGGCTGACTTCGCGGCTCGGTGGGGTCTCGTGGTCCTCAGCCATGCCCCAGAGCCACAGGGCCTGGACACAGTCAAAGCGGGGGGGGGGGGGAAGGAGGGGAGCCCCCTGAACTGGGAGAAGAACATCAGTGCCGGTCCTCCGGGGGGCCGTTCCCCCGAGGGGATCTAGCTCAAGGCCATGCAGACGGGGCCGCTCTCCCTGCTCACGAAGGCCACCCCACAGAAGGGCATGCAGAGTGTGGGGTGGGGAGGCCATGCGGTCCGAGGCAGGAGCCTGCGAGTCCCGTGGGTGGGGAGCTTTTGCTGACGTTGGCAGAACAGCCTCCTGTGCCTTCTTTTGCCTCCGAGGAAAGGGACAGGCCGGCACCGAGAGTGCGAGATCAGCACGTACCCAAGTGCAGGGCGGAACAGTCCAAAGGCCCCCTGCCCCCTGCCCCACGGGTCCAAAGGGCAGCCCGGCCCACGTGCCTCCGCGGGCCTTGCCGGGAGCAGCATCCCGGGCCAATTTCGCAGATAAGTCAGTGCCTGATAGCCCTCAAAGGAATCAGTGCTCAATCAGTGCAGCAACAGGTTCAGGAATGCCTGAGCAAACTCTCCACCGCGCCAAGCCCCGCCAATTGCGCTACCTTATCGAGCGCCACTCATCCCGGCTCCTATCTGGGCCCATTTCAGACCAAGAGGGGTGTCGCGAAGGGACAGCTCAGCCTCTCCCCTGCCAGCCTGGAGCAGCAGGCTGGGCCTCGGCTGTCCCCCTTTCAAGACACGGGCACCTCTCACCCCCAGTAGCATCACCCCGGAGCAGGATGCCCGGGGCCCTCATGCCCGCAATCACAACCCGGCAGGCGGATGCATCGCAGACCCAGGAGCTGTGGCGTCACACCGCAGGCAATGCCCACGGAACTGATTACTTCCGAAGTGGGGCGCAGGAGCAGGAAGTCCATTTTCAGGGCTGTGACATGTGCCTCTGGGCATGCATAGAGGACATTTTGACTACATCCCTGTGATCTGCGGGAAGGCCTCGCTCCAAACTAAGGTGGGTCTTCCCAGAAATGACATGCTCGCCCTGCCCTGCCCTGCCAGTGCCGAGCACCACCAGCCATGCCCGGAATGCCCCCCCACCGTCCTGCCTAGCAGCAGGACCTGCCTCCGGCCTGGGGGGCACGCCCCAGCTGGGTTCCCACTGGCACACTAGCTTCCAGGCTGGCATTCACATGATTGTTCCAGTTCAGCTCGGCTTTGGAAGCTGCTCAAACCGGCCGGGACGTTCCCAGCCGGAGGGATGAAAGCCCATTGTGACAGCGGGGTCAGCATCACCCCCGCCAGCCCCATGGCTCACCTGGCAGGGAACACAAGTAGGAGTAGAAGCCCTCGGACTTGAGCATGATGAGCAGAGAGCCCCAGCCGAGGAGGACAGCAGAGAAGAAGAGGTTTTCCACCACGGCCGTGCAAGCCATCCACCATCGCCGCCGGTGAGCTGTTGCCAGGGTGGGAGCCATGGTGCCGAGGGAGGAGAGCGAGAGGCCGGGAGTCCTTCAAACTGCAGGCAGGGGAGAGAACGAAGTGTGGTGAGGCCTCTGGCTCCCCCACGTCCAGCTAAGAGCAAGCGTTGCCCCGAGGGAGGTACCCGGAGAGTCGGCAGCGACGGGCGATTCAGTTCACAAAAGCACCTTGTGGTCTCACAACATGCAGTGCAAGGAGAGGCCTCCCAGCAGGCGCCTGGGCAAACAGGCAAGGCACAAGCCCTGCTCTGCAAAGAAGAGGCTCAGCGCAGGCCGGCTCAGCCACGCTTTCTCCAGAGCCAGTGCAAGCAAGCAGCAGCCTGGGAGGGCTGGCAGGCACAGGTTCCTCTTCCTCCGCTAAGGTTCCTGTTTGGACCCTGCCAGAGAAGAGCCAACTAAGGAGACAGACTCCACCTTCCTAGCCTGTTAGGGGGGCAGAATCCTCCTGTTCTTAGACCAGACACGCCAACACTAACGCGACAATGTCTTGTACTTGGACGTATTCTTCACCCGCATTTTGTTGTTCTGCGAGTCTTTCCCTCAGCCACGCACACCCTGCCTCATGAGCCACTCTTGGAAACATCTCTCAGAAGTAGCATATACGGAACTGGAATAATCCTCTGTGCCTGAATGGCCCATTTGACCCTGGAGGAGCTCGCTGTGTGGGGAAAATGGGGTTAAAATGTGCTTGGACCGCTCAGCACGGTGCTGGCACACAACCTCGTGTCAGGAGTGCGACCTGTGACCCGGCCATCCTGCGCCCAGCTGAAGGCCCCCGTCACAGCACCATGCATGGCCGGAGTTGTGCTCCAGGCAAAATTCTCACCCAGAACCAGCTACCAGCTGCTGCTAAGCCAGGGAGGGACGGCTCGGGTTCCCTCCTCCTCTCCTCTGAAGAATCAGAGGCCAAATGCAGGCCGCCTTTCTTCCTTTCCCACAAGAATCGGCTGGAACAAACAACGTGCCCCAAGCGGAAACACAAAACCACAAATCAGAGTTGAAAGAGAAATTGAGTCATCCCGATTCAAGGAGTAACCACCCCCCAAAGAATCAGCAATACCTCCCCCAAAAATGGACGGCAGTAGTTGCAGATTTACAGCTAATTGACGAGTTACAAATTAACAGGTCTCCCAAGGAGTTGACTGAAGAGACCCGCAGCAGTGGATGTGGCCCGTCATTCACTCCTGCCAACCAGAGGACTGGAAGGCAACCAGGACCAGGAAATTACAGCTCCTTCCACCTGACATGCCCCTCCAGGTAAGAGAGTGGAAGGGCTCCCCCAGGGTAGCACAGACAGACACCCAGAAGGGAGGTCTTGCGTGTCAGCAGGCAGGAAGGCAAGAGCCGTCAGATTGGGATGCGCAATACCCACTTCTAAAACGCTCTTCTCAGGGTCATGGAATCAAACAGTGGCTCCTCTCACTGATTAATAAACAATAGGGGAGAGCGCTCTGCCAGTTGATTATAAGGTTATTATTCAGCGTGCTGATTGAGCTATCTTTCAATGCTGATTGAGCTATCTTTCAACACTTAGCCTGGAAACTAGTCACCAATTTCAGTGTTGCAGGAAAGAGGGGAAGGGTGAGCAGGAAAGTGGGGGAGCAGTCACAGCAGGCGAAGCGAGCGCTGCCCCTTCCAGGGGAGGGTTCCGCCATGTTCATAAATACCCCGGCCTGGGCCAGGAGTGGGATGCCCACGTTCACTTGACACCACCCAATTAGTAAGAGTTGGGGTGCTACACCCAGAGGGATACCTCTGGGCTCAGACGCATCTCCCCAGAGGATGGCCATCAAAATAGGCAGAGCGGCTCAGCATGAGCAACTGTTACACGCTGGGGCGAGAGTCCCCATAAACGGGGGGGGGGGGGGTGAGTGACTGGGCACAAAAGGGCGAGCAGCTCTGGGCAAGGGTGGCATCGCTACCCAGCACCCGCGCCTCCCGCGCTCAACTAACGGCACAGGAGAGGACCCAGGCCGGAGGGGGGGACGCAGCACGCCCGCCATGCCCGTGCACGCGGGGGGATCCCGCGCAGCCACGCCGCGGGGAGATGCTGGCGGCTGCACGCAGCCGTCGGGAAGGGGAAGGGGAAGCGAAACTGGGAGCGCCGGCATCGCAGGGCCCTCCCTCGGCTGCCGCGATCAGCGGCGCGCTTCCCCCGCGGGCGCGCATCGGCAGGACGCGGGCGGCGCCGAGGCAGGAGCGCGCAGGGAGCGCAGCGCGCCGGGCAGGGCGACGGGCCCCCCCACCCCGCGGGGGCCCGCGCGCGCAGAGGAGAGCCCCTCGGGCCCCGGAGCCTCGCAGCCCGAAGGCCGCGCGGGACGGCTGGGGCTGCCGCCCGCCCCGAGGGGCCCAGAGGCAGCGAAGGGGGCGGGCGCATCGCGGGGGACCCGGCCGGGTGCGCGCGCCCCGTCCCTCCGCGCCGAGCCAGCGCTGCGGGCCCCGGGGAGGGAGAGCCGCGGGCCCTTCCGGGCTCCCGCGCGGGAGGACGGGGGCAGAGCCGGGGCCAGGAGGCTCGGGGGCCGCCAGGCCGCCCGCGCGAAGAAGCGCCACCTCACCTGCCGCGCTCCCTCCGGGCGGCGACTGCGCGGCGCTCGCGTCTCGTCTGGGCCGACCTGCCGCGGCCGCGCGCTTTTATGGAGCCGGCTCTGAGTGCGGAGCGGCGAGGGGCGCTGATTGGCTCCCCGCCTGTTTCCAGCCTCGCCGCCGCCAATCAGGGCGCGCCCGGCCCGAGGCCCGAACCGCCCCGCTTTCGCCTCCGAGGGGGCGTCTCTGAGCATGCACAGAGTGTCTGCTCCGCGCAGAAGCGCGATGGGGGCCTTGGCCGCCGGAGCGGGGAGGGGCAGAGCGGCCGCCGCCGCCTGGGGCGGGTCTCGCGCGCGGCAGCCCCGCCGGCCGTGGCCGCGCCTGCTTCGGGCCGCCCCAGCGCGCCGCGCCGCAGACCTCGGAGGGCCGCGCCCCGCCAGCTGCACCGGCGCCCACTCCGCTCTCCGCCGGGCGCGGCTGGCAGAGAGGAAGGGGCCCGGCCTTGGCGCCCCCGCCCGCGGCTTCCCTTCTGCGCGCCTCCCGCCCCACGGCCTGCGGCTGCTCCAGTCCGCGGCGGCGAGGGATGCCGCGACCGCGGCCCGAGGACCAGGCGCTCTCCGGCCGCTCAGGTGCGCAGGCTCGGGTGGCCGCCCGGATCGCCAGCGGAGGGGCGATTAAGGGCAGGCCCCGAGCACGGAGGGCTGCGAGGAAGGGGCTCCTTGAGGGAGGCAGGGAGGCAGGCGGGCGCCCCCCCCCCTTGCCGCAGCGCGGGCTTCGCGCCGGTCCCGTGCATCCTCGGCTGCCCCCCCCCCCGCGAGGGGGCGCTGAGCCCCTAATTTGGGTCTCAGCCACCCGGAGCGCTGCGGCCGGGAGCGCCCCTCCCCGGGCCACCGGGGCGGCTGCGGGACTTTGTCCGGGGGAGCCCGACAGGGAACCTTGCCCGGGCCCGCTTGTCGACCTCCAGCGGCTGCCGCCCGGCTTCCAAAGGCAGAGTCCTTTCATGCGCCCAGCTGCGCCCCCTCGTGGAAAGGCGCCCCGGCCACCGGCCTGGGAGGGGAGGCTCACCTGGACGGCTGTAACGCGGCCCGGTGCCCGACCGGGAGCGCACACCTGGGGCCGGGGCCTTGCACGCCAGTCCTCCGCCTGGGGCACCTGCTCTTGGACCGTATCCAAGCAGATCGGAAGTGCCAGTTCCATGTTTGCGACCCCCCCCCGGCCCCCACCTCGACCAGCTCACCTCTTGAGCCCTGCACTTCATCGTCCAGGTAGGCGGTGCCTGGAGAAAGGGGCCCATCGTCCTCAGGTGCCGCCCTGGCTCTACCCTTCGCACCGGGGAGGAGCCGTTTATTCCCTCGGGGCATTCCGAGCAGCTAGTTTTATAGTTTCGTGCTGCCACGCTTTACTGCCATGCGTTAAATGTTTGATTCCTTGCAAGCTGCCCCAGGGGCTCCGGCTGCAAGAGGCAAGGGCTTTTCTCCGTGCAATCGCCTTCCCATCCTATCCTGCAAAGCCCCTTAAGCTGTCCTTCTCTTCCTTAAGCTGTCCAGTTTAGCTGCGCCAGCAGAACTGCGCAGAACGACGGCGGCCGGCAGAAACTTTTCCCATCAGAGTCATCACGAAAATGAGCTGAGCTGTCTGTTTATTAAGAACGAGAGCCCACTGCTGTGGGGCGGAGGTGCCTCCGGGAGGGCTGGGGCTTCACGGGGGAACCCCTCCGACGGCTCTTCCGATCCAGTCCGGCACGTTCCCTCTTTTGGCAACGAGGAAATCGGCTGCACGGACATTTATGCCGGGGCAGAGGCCTGCCGGGGCCCGTCGACGACACAGGGCGGACCCGGCAGCCGCGGGGCACTCAGAAGAGCGGAGAAGTCCAAGGGAAGCCCACCTTCTGCCGGTGGAGGAATGACGGGCCCGGTCACTTTGGCAGCAGCGCTGCGGACGGAGCCCGCCCACTCCGGTGGGGTCTCCCCACACCTCCGCGTGCCCTTCCTCCGGCGTCTTGGGGGCTACGGAGAGCCGGACCAGCGGCAAACGTTCTCGTACTGGGGCTCCTGCCCCTCCTCGGAGTCCAGCCCTCCGGCCTGCATCTCCAGCTGGCTGGGGCTTGGGGAAGCCTGGGCACCGCCGCTCTCCCCAGGTCCCTCACCCACAGGGGCCGGTGCGCCTCCCAGGGGGCCCTGGCCCCCCGCCTCCAACTCCGCCACGTCGGGCGAGGGGCTGAGGCCAGGGGGCTGCAGCCGGTGCGAGGCAGGCGCCCCCCACGGTGCCCTCTGGAGGCCCTCGGGGGGCCTTCTTGGCCGGGGCTCCTCCCGGGAGACGGGCCTGGCTCTCCGCAGGCTGCCCAGGCGCTGCAGGAGCGCCTGCACAGGGCCCTCGCCGCCCGGCCCGGCCTTGCCCACGGCAACGTAGATGGTGGTGACGCTGCTGGGCTCGTGGCCGTGGGCTCTGGTGGTCGCCTCGAGGGCCTCCACCCTCTGGGCCACGAGGCGGGAGCCGGCGGTGCCCTTCCGGTGGCCGGCGGGGGTGTGGCACAGGCCCCCCCGGGGGCTCTCGTCCGCCCAGCCTCTGGCCTCCACGTTCTCGTAGCAGCTGCCCAGGGCATCGTGCGGGGTGGTGGGGGCCTCCACGGAGTGCCTGGGGCTCTGTGGGCCGAAGCGAGTCCCCTCCGCGAAGGACACCGAGGGCCGCTTGGCCTTGGCCACGCTGGAGGTGCGAGGGATGGAGAAGGGCTCCGGGCTCGGGGGCCGCACCTCCGGCAGGAAGCCCGTCTGGCGCTCCGGGTCTGTGGCGGAGAAAGACACGGCTGGGGTCAGAGCACAGCCCCGAGTGGTCCTCAGGTCCCTTCCCGCTGTTCAGGCACCCGAGAGGGAGCAGTCCTCGAACTGAGACTACCCGGGTTCGTGCCCACGCCTTCCTCGCCGAATGGAGAGCAAGTTCCGCAGTGGGGGGAGGTGCTGTGGGTGGCTGTGGGGTGCAGGGAGGGCCCCCATGCAGGGGAGGTGTGCGGATGCAGTCCTACCTTCGCCGGCAGGGAGGGGGCAAGCCGAGCCCCCCTCCTCGTCCTCATCGGTGTCGAAGGAGCTGTCGGAGGGCCAGGCGGCCGAGGGGGGCTCGATGAAGCTGGGGTTGAAGGGCATCTCGGTGTCGTGGTGGGAGACTGCTCAGCCAGCGCCACAGCGGGAGGAAACACAGGAAGGGGGACCAGGCGGGCCGTGAGCCGCAGGATGCCGGGGGGGTCCCTGTCTGTGCCCCCCGGGGGTTACCTGCCCCAGCCTCCCCTCTGTGGCCCGTCCCCCTTTTTCTGCCCCCTGGGCAAGACTGGGGTCGAGCCCCCCTCGTGTTACAGGAACTGGGGAGCAGGCAGAGGGCGGGGGACGCGGCCCAGGCACCCACCCCCTCCTCACCTGTGACTCCCGGCACCCGGTAGCTCCCCAGGGAGAAGCAAGGCGAGGCGGCACGGAGATCGGCCAGCGTCCCCAGCACGTGGCGCTTCGCCCGGGCAAGCGGGTCCCCCTCCGCCACCGCTGCCGCCCTGCAGAGGAAACGGACAGGACAGGACAGGACAGGGGTCTCACCGGGGCGCGTGCGAGGGGCTCCGGGGGTGCCGGGGCCCAGGAGGAGACGAGACCCCCGCGCGCTTCCCCCCGGCCAGCACGGAGCGGTGCTTCAGGCCCAGTTCGCAGTCTCCAAAGAAATCGGCCTGGGTCGCTGCACTTCAGGCAGGGGAGTGCCAACAGGGGTGCCACCAGGCCTGCAGCCTCCCCAGGCCTGCTCTTCTCCATCCTTGCGGAAAGAGAGCAAATGTGGCAGGGCCCAGCAGGGCAGGATCCGTCCAAAGACGAATTTCCTGTGTGCAGGACGCGCGCAGTCCTGAGGCCGGCCAGCGGCACTGTGTCAAAATCTGGCGCTGCTTTTCACGGGGGGGGGGGGTCCGGGCGCCAGTGGCCCCTGCAGGAGGGCTTCTGGGGGCAGCCCGGCTGGTACCTGCTGCCGGGGTCCGCCAGGGCCGGCTTGGAGCAGCAGCAGCAGTAGCAGGCGAGGCCGAGCAGCAGGAGCAGCAGCAGAGGGACCAGGATGGCCGGGAGGAGCGCCCCTTGGAGCCGGGCTCCTGCGGAGACAGAGATGTCCGGAGGGGGAACCCTTTGCCCACAGCACCCCCCAGCAGACGCGACCCCCTCCGGAGGACAGGTGGGGGGACCTACCCCCCTGGCAGGCCCCCGAGGCGGGGTGGCATGCGCCCCCTGGGCACTGGCAGGGCGCTGAGCAGTTGGGGCCGTGCAGGCCGGCAGGGCAGGTCCGGTTGCAGCTGCGAAGGAAAAGAGCGACACGGGGTGGGCCTGCTGCAGCCGCTCCGGGCCCCCACTCCCCCCGGCAGCTGCCCCGGTGCCCCTACCTGGCGCCCCAGAACCCGGCCTGGCAGACGCACGCCCCAGAGGCTGGGTCGCAGCTCCCGTTGGCACAGTCGGGGCAGCGGAACTGGCAGCCGGCCCCAAAGAGTCCCGCAGGGCAGGGGTCCTCGCATCTGTGGGGAAGTGCAGGGGTGAGGGCAGGGGGCTTCCTGGCCGGATCACCGGCACCTCCTGCCTGGAAGCTGGGCAGCGGGGAGGGGGGGCTCTCTGGGGGAGAAGGGCCAGGCGGGCTCCGTTGAACAGCCCCCCTGCCCTTCAGCAGAGCTGCGGGATGGCCCCCCAGGCCACAGGCCTCTCCCACCCCATGGCTCCCAGCTGCAAGCAGGAGGCCTGAGGTGCCCAGCACAACCCCCAGCATGGCCCCCACCTGGGCCCTTGCAGGCCAGCTTCGCAGCTCTGGCAGGCGCCCGTCTCCGGGTGACAGGGCTCCCCTCGGAAGCAGCGGGGGCAGGGCTGGCTGCAGTTCTCCCCATGGCGGCCCGGGGGGCAAAGCCGCTGGCAGTCGGCCCCCATCCAGCCGGGTTCACACTCTGGACAGGATCCGTTCACCGGGGAGCAGGAGGACGGGTCCTTGCAGTGGCCACACCTGTGCCAGAGGGAGGGCCGTGAGTGTCCGGCAGCCGCGTTCAGGCAGCTCAGGCCGTGTGGTGCCCCCACGCACCTCCCACCCGGGATGGCCAAACAAACTCTTCTGAAGAGCCAGCCTGGCACCAGAAACTGCGCAGGCTTTCCAGGAACACAGAATTCTTCATCAAGCAACACGGATGCTCAGAGCATCAGCGAAGTCCTCCCAATCCCAAGCAGTGCCTGCTTTGCCTCCGTGTGCCGAGTGCCATGGGAAGCACTGAGATGGCCTGGAGCCCTTCCCCACTCCCCCTGCATGGGGGCACTGGAGCCTGAGCCCTGCAGCCCTCAGGGCGGTGGGAGCCCTGCAGCCCAGCGTGGGGCAGGCGCAGAGCCCACCGCAAGCCCCCTCCCAGCCTCGGTTCCCAGTGGGGCCCCTCACCGGCTCTTGCAGCGGGGCCCGAAGCTCCCGGCCGGGCAGGGCTCCGAGCAGCTGGGGCCCCGGTAGCCGGCGTCGCAGGCGCAGCGCCCGTCCTGCGGGGCGCAGGTCCCATGCCGGCACTGGCAGGGGTTCTGGCAGGCGGCCCCCCACAGCCCTGAGCGACACTCGCAGCGGCCGCTCTGCTGGGCGCAGGGGGAGCCGTTGCAGCTGCAGGCGAAGGAGCATCGCCGGCCCCAGCGGCCTCGGTGGCAGAGGCAGCGGCCCGTGCCCGGGTCGCAGCGGGAGCCGGCCTGGTCGCACAGGCACTGCCGCCGGCACTCGGGTCCCCACCAGCCCGGCCGGCAGCGGCAGGCCCCCGAGAGCGGGTCGCAGTGGCCGCGGGGGCCACAGGCGCAGGCGAACTGGCAGAGCGGCCCCCAGCGGCCCGGGTGGCAGCTGCAGGTTCCTCCGGCGGGGTCACACGTCCCATCGGGGTGGCAGTGGCAGCTCTCCTTGCAGTCGGGCCCCCAGAACTGGCCGGGGCAGCCTGCGGGGAGAGCGGAACGGGGTGGTGGGGCCAGGTGGGCGGGCGGGCGGAGGCTCTCTCCAGCCCTGCAGGACCCGTCCCGGAGGCCTACAAGTCCGAGCCAGGAGCCGTCGGCCGGCCGGCAAGCGGGCGAGGCTGCACCCCAACCGCCACCGTAGTCGGGGACCTCACGCGCCCACCCCAGGACGACACTCACGTGTGGCACAGCCGGCCCCGAAGAAGCCTGGCCGGCAGCGGCACACGCCCGGCCGGACACACACCTCGTCCCCACGGCAGGCCTCGTCCCCTTCGCACAGCGCTGGAGTGGCAGAGACGCGAGCGGGTGGTGAGACCCTTCGCCCCCAGCCTGCGGGCCAGCGAGCTCCCTGGAGGGTGGCCAGCCAGGGGGGCGGCCACAGCCACCCCCTCGTCCACTGAGGGAGACGCCGGCCCAGGTCCCCAACTCCCCTCCCTCCTCATCGTGCCGAAGGGGCACGGGGCTCTCCAGGTTGGCCGCCCTGCGTGCGGCTCCAGGGGCGGAGTAGCCCAATTCCCTTCCACCAGGAAGGTGCATGGCTGTGGCGCCCCATCCCGGGGGCACGGACCCCGCCGGAAGCTCCCCGCAAGGCCGGGGACCCCGGCAGGCGCTGGGCCGGGCCGGGCTTACCAGTGGGGCATTCGCGGCCCTCTTGCTTCCAGCCGGAGCAGCAGGTGAAGACAGGCGGCTGGCTGGCGGGGGAGAAACGGATGGTCAGCAGGAGCCCCCTTGCCCGCCACACGCCCCCTCCAGATGACGCGGCCCCAGTCGCCCGGGGCATCCCTTCTCTGGTAGCGCTGCAGGGGAGCTCTCTAGACCAAGCTGCCATGGGAGGGGGTGCCCCCTGTGGCCGAGCCCCCCATGCTGCTGGAGAAGTGGCCGGGTTTGGGCTTTGCAAGCACGCTGGGGCCCGAGCAGCACCAGGCGAGACCGCAGGCGCAGGCGGCAGGAAGCACAGGACAATGCGCGGAGGGAAGCTGAAAACGCCGGAGGGGAACCCCCACCCCGTTCGCCCCACAGACTTCAGTGGGTCTTGCCCAAGTCTGATTCAGTCTGGGAGCCTGAGCAGCCCCCCTCCCTCGATACTGCCCTGCCTCCCCCCTCCCCACATCTCCATCCGGGCAGAGCAGAGGGGTGGCCCGGCTGCCTCCATGGCCCCCGGCACCTCGGGAACCCTGGCCCTTCAGGGACCCGCTTTGCTCCGGGCTGGACGGGCCGCCTCGACCTACCAATGCTCCGCGGCAGAGCCAGGAGCTCGCCGGGCCGTGAGAAAGCCCCCCGGCTGGGGGCCGAGCCGTGTGGGGGCCGAGGGGCCCGGCCCAGCTGGCGGCAGGCCTGGAGGTAGCTCCCCGCACCGCCCCTGCCCTGGCCCGAGAGGGGCTACCTGCTGGAGCGGCAGACGTGCCTCCCCACGGGGTCCAGCTCAGGGGCGCCGCTCCCTCCACCGGAGCCCCGGACCTGGAGGCAGAGCAGCAGCAGCAGCGGCAGCGGCGGTGGCAGGCGGTCCATCGCCCGCACGCCGGCCAGGAGTGGCTGCCCAGGCCGCGGCCACACGGGCTCTGCAGGCTCCCCCCCTGGCGCCGGGCTGCGCCTCGCCTGGCCCTCCCTCACTTCCTCCTCGGCTTTCCTGAGGAAGCTCACCAGCGGCTGGGTGGCCAGAGGGCAGGACACGCCAAGAGAGCCCCCCGAACTATTTTTGGCCTCAGGGGAATGGGGGGGCGGCCACGGGACTTCTGGGAAGGACTTTCGAGGTGGGAGGAGGGTGCCTATCCCACACGCCTTCCTGGGAACTCCTGGGGCTCGTCACTCGCATCCCAGCCCGATGGGCGGCCCCGATGGGGGGGGTGTCTCCCAGGGGCCCCCAGCAGTTCCACAGTGGGGAATCGAGGAACGTGCCCCCTTTACAACCGGGGAGAGGGAGCTCTCCAGAGGTTCTGGCCTACAATGCCCATCAGCCGTGCTGAAGGGCCGTGGGAGGGCAGGCCTTCCTCCCAGAGGTCCCCAGGTGCTCGTCCTGCGCGATGATGCTGGGGGGCCCACCACCAGCTCCCGGTGCCCAAATCGGGGCTTCAGCCCCTGTCAGCCTGCCCGGGCATCCTACCCCGAAGGGCAGGCAGCGCCAGGGCTGCCCCTCCCTCCCTAGGCTGTTCTGCGGGACCTCCATGTCAGCAAAAGCACAGGAAACACCTTTTTTCCTGCCCAAACAGAAGCTCAGTTCAAAGATTTCCCGCTGCCCCAGAGAAATCCAGCCGCATCCAGCCAGCCCGTCCATTCTGACACGGCACGGACCAGCGCCGGCCCCTCCGCCAAGCCTTTCCAGGGAATTGCGTGACTAGGTGGGGGGGGGGGGGGTTTGGGACCAGGGGAAAGCTGCCCCCCTCGGAAGCGTGGCCCTTCCTCGGGTGGCCTAGCAGCTCAGGTGGGGGGAGCAGCCCCCCTTTGGCGCATCCAGAGGCCCCCAGATGGTGCCCCTGGGCCTTGCCAAAGGGCTGGTACTCGGCTCAGGGCTGGAAAAGCCCTGCCAGAAACCCCAGAGAGATGCCAATGCCTGTCCGTGCATCCCCACTGGACATCCCAGAATTCCATGGGCGCACACAGCTGTAGCCCCAGCGCTCTGGAGGGAACCAGGTGGCCTAGCGCTACGGTGCCTGGCTGACCAGCCTCCTGGCTCGTGCAGGGCGGCTTCCCCCCAAGTTCCTCTTTAAATGGAACAATGAGGACCGGCCACTTGCTCAGCCTTTAGGAAAGCACCCCGGCAGAGCACACACTTCGCAGAAGGCTGAACTCTTGGAAACTCCCCAAGTTTCAGAAAGGGTTTAGCTGAGAAGCAGCTTTCTGTCAAGTCCCTGGAGGACCCTGGTCCTTGCACCGGCCTGGAAGCATCCTCCTCTGAGCTTGGCTGTGGCAGGTTTTAGGGACTCCAATCCATGCCCAGCCTGAAACGGATGCTGAAAGCAGCCCTCTTGGGGTGGAAGCACTGTTGCTTCTTGCAAGTGTAGCACATGCCAAGCAGGGTCCTCTGGCCTTTGGGACTCTGTCAAGTTCACCTTTCATTTGGTTTAAAGAGAAAGAAAATCTCTAGTCCTCATGAAGTTATTATGCCTGTTAGAACTGTTCTGAAGGAAGTGATTGGCTAGCGATTGGGAGGCCCTGGTACTTGCTCAGATATTAGATCAGCCCTCACAGCAAAAGCAAAATACCACACACAACATTCAACTTAGCTGAGGCTGGCTCAAACCCAGTAATTTCAAACAGCTGATTTCAAATTAAGCAGATGGTATTTTGAAGCCAGAAATTGGAGATGCATTTCAGAAACCAACTGAAGAATCACCATGGCTGCGCATTGTCTGGGTTTCCGTGCCTGCCCAGAATCCACCACTGTCTGTTGTGTACAACTACAACCCATCATAATTGCATGTCTCCACGTATGTCCAGATTAAGGCTGCTGGGACACCAGGTTGGCAGTCTTAACAGAAAAGCTTTCCACGGGCTCCCAATCCATTTCCAAGCGTGCGGGGATCCGAAGGGGCCCCGTTGCCCGGGATCCTCCACTGGCCAGATGCGTTTCCTCGCAGGCCTCGTTCCCGACATAGAGCGCAGAGCTGGTCCCGGGAACGGCAGCGCAGACGGGGAAGGGGCCCTCCTGCACCGGCTGTGGCGACGGCGCCTGTGGCTGCGCTGGACAGGCGAGGGCGGCCCGCCTGCCCCGTCCCACGTTTAGCATTCTGTCTATCCAGATGTTAACGTTCAGCACCGGATACGCCTGCAGGCCAGCGGAATAACGGTCCTTTCCATAGGCATATTCCCAAGCAGAGGCACCAGGTCGGGAGACACTTTGAGATGTAATCATGAGCCCACCTGCCCGCTCGGCCAGCCAGGCACCCATTTCTGAACTGGATCGGGGGGCAGCTCAGACAGCGCTTCTGCCCTCCACATCCCCAAAGGGCCTGACACAGTCCATGCGGAATCCCCTCACCTAATAGACAAAGCAGCCCGGCTTCTCCCTGGCTCTGCTCTCTGCAGCTGGCAGGAATCCGTGCCCTGGGACACCCACGTCTTCTCCCACGTCTGCACACTACGCAGAGCAAAGGAGGCCGGGCTTGCACACACCTGTGCGAGGGGACCGCCCTGGCACACCCAGCTACTGCTGTCCTGCCGCTCCTCAGCGCTTGCAAGCACCTCCTCTCCCCCCGCCACGCGCCCCCGCTCTGGTGCCGGCTGCGGCCTCACGCTGGCCCGTGAGAGGCGAGCCAATGCGGGGAGGGGTGCCTTCGACCTTCCCCCGCGGCCCATGCGGCCCCTCTCCAACCTGGCTGGACTGTGCCAGGGCCATGGGGCCGGAGCTCCGGCAGCGTGTGGCCAGCCCCAGCAGGGCGCTGCCCCGGATCCGACTGGCGGCCCGGCTCAGGCGAGGGATGAGGCTCCGCCGGGAGAGCTGGAGCTACAGGAAGGCGCTTGCTGCTCCGGCTCCCCTTCGCCCTCCTTCGGACACGTGTCTCGCGGGTTGACGATCTCCCAGGCTCCAGAGCCGCCTTCCGCTGTGCTGCTTTTGCTGCTTTGGCGATACCACAGGCTAAAACTGGACAGACCAACAGGTGCGGGTGCGGCTGTGCTGCCAGCGAGGGTAGGCTGCCCTGCCGGGGCTATTCTGGCGGAGCTGCATCCTCCTTACGCTGTGCGCCCGAGGAAGGTGCACACGGATCCCTGCGTGGCAGGGAGAATAACCCGCCGCGCCCCACGGTTCTTTCTTCCTCCCCAGGGCAGGAAGTACCTCCGCCTCCCTGCCCGGGCTGGCCCGGCTCTTGGGCAGGGAAGGGCCATGCGCGCCGCACCACAGGCTGGTTCGAGGGAAGCCCCTGTGCTCCGCGGAACTGAGGGGACCGCAAACCATCCTCCCAGCTCAGCGGACGGCCTCTGCCGGGGCAGCCGGGCCAGCGGGACGGCACTGTGACGGTGCCAGCTTCGAGGATGCCCGTGCAGGCGAAAGGTTCGCCAGGGCAAGGCGATGCTCCTGCCCACCAGGGACGGGCCCCTGGCGCCCGGTTGCCTTGGACTGGCCGCAGGCAGTTTCCGGGGCTGAACACGGGCGTCCGTCCGCAAAAGGCCGATTCCTTCCCCCAAGACGGGCCGCCCACCCTCCTGCTCCGAACGCCACTGTCCCCCAGCAGGCCGGCGCAGCAGACTTACAAGCTCCTAATTCCGGGCTCGGGCAGGTGGCCATCCACAGCGTCCGCGGGGCCCATCAGCCACTCCTCCGCCTCCTCCTCGCTGCAACACAGGGCCAAACAGCAGCATGGGTCAGAAACTTGCACGCAAGGGTGGGGGTCCCCCCAGGAGCTGCAACGCAGAGGGGTCTCCTTGCGTTGTCGGGGCGGAAGAGAGCTCGGTCCCCTGCTCCAGCCTGGCCTAAAGCCAAAGCAAGCAAGCGGGCCTTCCCCAGCCCGTCCAGACCTTACACAGAGGGGCCGAGCAGCCCCACAGCGCCCCTTGCCTGCTCTCCTGGTCTTCCGCAGTCCCCAGCATCTTGGCCCGGATCTTCCGGCGCTGCTTCTTGATGGTGGACTTCACAGCGCGCAGGAGGATGCTCGGGATCCGCTGGTCATTCAGCAGTTCCCTGCAGGACAGGGAGACAGAACAGCTGGGCTCCAGGGAGCTTCCGAGGGATGGGATCCCCCACCACAAAGTCTCGCAAGCCTGCCCACCTGTTTTCGTGGCTGGTCTAGGCTGAGGGCATGAAACCTCTTCAGCAAGGGCTGGCTCCCCATTTGGCATTCAGGGACCAAAAATACCGGCATGGTTTCACTTAAGGCAGTGCCTGCCAGTGACTCGGCCTTCAGAGAGGCACTTCCGTCTTGTGTGAGGGGGAAAAGCTCCCCAAAGTCACCAAATGACAGGCGGCTGAGGGAAAGGGGGCCGGGGAGGCGCCACGACCTCCGTCTTGCCCCTGCCCGGGAACACTGGTGCTGGGAACCTCTCCGTCACGGGAAGCGGAGCCCCGGGCCTTCCCCACACCACCCGGACCTCTGCCAGGACTGACCGCTGGTAAAAGGCCAGCTCCTCCTGCACCAGGAAGAGGTTGGTCTTCAGCTCGTTGCGCTCCTGCAGGATCTGCTGCAGCTCTTCCCGGGAGAAGGAGCCCCGTCCAGGCAGCCCCCTGCTCAACGTCGCGACCACCTCGGTGCCCTCCTGGGAAAAGCGGGGAAGAGATGAGCTGCCATCCCAGCCTCCGAGAGGCTGCAGACCACCCCCAAATGCCCAATTTCTGGAAAGCCAGAGTCTGTTCACGAAAGGGCCCCTCCCCGGCGCAGCACAACGGCCCACGTGGCCGCCTGCGGAGCCCCTCCTGGCAGCCCGTACGCTGCAAGAGTTCACTGGGCCATTCTAGGCAGGCCACGGCTGCTCACAGAGGACTAGAAGCTTGTTGCCACTAAGACCATGAGGAGGAGCAGCAGCTCTGCAGGATGCCACGATCCCCCTCTGGAAGCCCAGGCACGCCCACCTCATGGAGGAGGGCCCTCGTTCTCAGCCCCTCTCACCATGGCATCCATCCTGGATGGCTCTGGGGTGGCCACGGACCCACGCAGCCCCTCAGCCTCCCGGCGGGCCTCCAGCAGCAGGCTGTCCAGCTCCTCCTTCTGATCCAGGGCGCTCCTGAGCTGCGCCTGCACTACAGCCAGCTTGCGGCGGAGCTCTTCGTTCACGGACATGAAGCGGCCGAGCTGCTCCTGCAGCTGAGTAGCAAAACACGCAGCACCCCGCTCAACCAGACCGCGGGAGAGGCCCACAGCCCCCGTGTCCCCCCGGAGCACCCCCTCCCTCCCGCCCCACAGCCAGGACAAGCCTTACCGCTTCCGCGTCCCGGGTCCGGGAGAGGATGTCTCGGGCCTGCTGGCGGATCTCATCGCGCTGCTTATCCACCACCTCCTTGAGCCGCAGCATCACCTCCCTCTCCTTGCTCCAGGTGCTATCTGGGTGCAGCCAGGAGAGAACGGCAGGTAGCGGTCCCAGGGCGGCAACCCTCGGCCGGCTCCCTGCTCGGGGGGCTCAGCCCATCGCAACAATCCCAGGTCCCCGCGATGCTCCTGCGCATGCAATCCGAGCACTCTCACTGCAGCGCTTCGCCGAGTTAACGCTTTCCCAGTGTCTGCTCTGCCACCTCCCACACAGGATGGACTTCCCCGGGCAGTTGCAGTGGCGCTCTCTGCATGGACGCTTCAGACTACAGCTCCCATCAGGCCCGGCAACGCGACCAATGGTCAGGAACTCTGGGAGCTGCACTCCAAGGCGTCCCCACACCCTCCAGGCCTTTGGCTTTATTCATACAAACACGAGGGGATTTGCATGAACAAAGCGAAACGCCTCATCCTGCCACTGAGCATGTGGCTTTCACAGAGCATGGAGGGAACACGGGACTTCAGTTTCCTTTCCTCCGTTTGGAGAGTGTTGTTTTACTGGCTCTGGGCTCCGCTTCATTCCACTCAAGCTCGGCCGCTTGCAACTGGAAACCGCCTTGGGGCTGGGGTGGGAAGGGAACTGAGAAACCAGATTGGGCTATGCTGTAGCTAGACGGGAAGCGCGGACCAGAAAGGGTAAACAGAGCCACACATACTGCTGACCTGGAATAGCTGCCAAGGACTTTCCTTCCACTAGCAAGACTGGCTGATTGCGCCATCAGCTCCAAACAGTACCAAAAAGAGGCTTCCTCCCCCGCCCACTGTGCCCCAGCCAAACTGATGCATCTGGGCATCTGCATGAAAGGGAAAATGCTGAATATTTGAGACAGAGGAAGACCCGGGGCAGTGGGAGCTGAGCGTCCAGCTGGTATGCAAAGGGCATTTCGACACTGCCCTTTCGAGATAGTATCGGGTGCTGGACCTGCCTGCCAGCTGGAGTCTTTTAAGCTGGGTCCCCACCCAGGCTCAACTTACACAGCTGTAAATAAAATACGGAGTTGCAACACACCGAATGCCTACGCTGACCTCATTCCAAGGGAAACACACCTGCACAGGTGCCGTACCTGTGGAACTTCCCATTGCGAGGTCAGGTATTCTAAAACACCAGCAAAAAATCTCAGGGCCTTAACCAAACTAAAGGTGTAAGAGGCTCGTTCTCCGGCAATTATTTTTCAAATGTGTCTCCTCGCCCTGCCCAAGACTTTCGTTGCCACGGATGGCACACGACTGAAGCAAGGAAGGCCTTGGAGCAGGCTGGCCTGGAGCCAAACCGGTTTAAACTAGGCACGCTGTCACCCACCAAGAAGCGAAAGGGAAGCCTGAGAGCTAAAAAGAAAAGCGAGAGCTAAAAAGAAAAGCGAGAGCTAAAAAGAAAAGCGTTGCAACCTTTCTCACTGGTTTTGCTTTCAGTTTAAGGCCTCAAGGAGGCTCACGCTAGGCACGGGGCAGAATTCAGCCTCTGCACTGCTTCCCAAGGGGTAGCCATCAGGGGTCCGCCAGCCCCCCTCCCAGAGTGCTTCCAGGAATGCCCTGAAGTCTAACTTGATATAATGCGATTCACTTGGAATGCCGGAAGAGAGAAAAAGGAGTGAATGCAGGGATTACATAAAATTTAAAGCTATGATTATAGGAAAGAAAAAACAAAATATGTGGATGAAAAGGATAGTAAATAAAATTTAGAAAATAACGTTAGAGGAACAGAATCAATAGGATTCACTTAAAGCAACAAGGAAAACTCCAAACTCCAAAAAACCGGAGTTTTTTTTTCTTCTTTTATTTGACATGCATTCCTGGTTCTGCTGCTAGGAAGCGCAGTAGAATAATGATTACTGTCCTTACTTAATGCTTGTATGTTAAATGCACTGGGGTTGGTTTGTTTGTATTTCAGGAATAAAAAGGTTTAGACAGCAGAACCGTCCTGAAAGCATGTTTGTTCAACCCAGCCTTCCCAATTACGGCCTTACCGGTCGGCTCTGGTTCGTGCCGGCAATTGTACCAAAGGTCCTTTTTAGTACTGTAAGTCAATTTATGCCCAGTGCGTTCTGTACTGTTTTATGCTCCGCTTTATTGCGGGAGGCAATTCGGGAGGAGCCCGCCAGAAAAGTCCCGAGCGCAATCACGAGCCGGCGCAGGCAGCGCGCCAAGCGGGCCCGGCGCGCGTCTCCCGCCCGGCGGACGAGGCGAGGACGGAGGGAAGGAGCGAGGGGCCCCGGGCCGCTCACCTGCCTGCGCCCGGCGCTCGGCCAGCTGCGCCACCAGGCCGCGGTTCTCCTCCTCGAGCTGCGCCAGGCGGCTCCGCAGGCAGCCGTCGCCCCCCGGGCCGGCGGCGGGTCCCTCCTCGGCGCCCTGCAAGGACGGGCAGCGGAGCGAGCGGGGCGCCTGGGCCGAGCGCGGCCTACGCGTCCCTCCCGGCCCTGAGGCGGCGCGGCGCGGCGCGGCGCGGCG